TGTGGAAATTCAGCTATTTGTTCATCGCTGAATGCTGTGCAGGAGAAAGAGGCAACTTTTATGAACACTAAAATTAATGTTAGCAAGATAATTCTTATTTGATAGTTCAGAAGTAACATATCAAAAGGTCAAAATAATCACAGTTTTGCAATTTTTTTTTTTTCTCCTTAGAACTTCATAATGGAAGATGCTGTTATTTTGTTTTCATTCAGTAAAACCAGATCAGTTTTGCATTGACTGGACAATCTGACTTTTTGTGAAAGCAGAAATGGGTTTTCACCCAAAACCTCCTCTTTTTCTAGTTCACAGAATATTGGTTTTATTTTATTTTAGTGCAGTTCCAACTGTGCTTTAAATGCAATGACAAATGAATTTTTTGGCCTCAAACAAAATTTTAAATACTTTTTCTCAGATTCCACCCTCCCCACTAAATAGGTTTTTTCTGTCTCTCAGTAAAGGGTTCATGTGTGTCTGGCTGGCAACATCAATTAAAAAATGTTCCATGAAGTTCAGTGCACATTTTTTCCTGCTTATGCTGCGGAGAGTACTCCTTGCTCCTGCGGCTGTCTGTAATCGTGAGATTTTTTTAAACAGTATTTCCAGGTGAACATATTGAATCTTTCTATATGGTATCAGCCACGACTTCAGTGCCAGCTGAAGATGGCTCTTTCAGGAACCTTGTTACCAAAATACAGACATTGCCTATATTCATTTAAATATTTATCTGTTACTCTCATCTCATTATTTAGACCTTTGCATTAACATAAAGAACTCCTGTAACGAGCCTGTCTCTCAGTGCAATGAGTCTGTGGTTGGAATAGTGACCAGTCCAGGCACATGCTGACGCACTGACTCTGGCAACGTGGTACCAAAGTACCCATCCTTGAGCACCACATATCTCATAAAGCTGAATGATTTTATGAAGGAAGTAATTTCAGAACCAGACACTACATGCAGAAGTTTCCATGTCCCCTGTCTTGCAGTACCCCGCCTCCTTAGGTTTAAAAATAAGTATATATTCTAGCAGAACAAGTGGAGATTTGTGCTAAAATGCTGACTTTAAAAATAGCAATATGTTCTGATAATGCCAGATATATTTGATGAATTAAACCCAAGAGAAGCATGTATTCTGAAGTGACTGGAAGAGAGGCTTTGTGGTGCACTTACTCTTGGACTGTGCTGGGGAAATGTGTGAATTTCTTCTCTGAAGTCATGTTTCCAGTGAACACCAACTACTACAGTGGGGAATCTGGCAAATCGAGAATATATTTGCATTAATTCAAACTTTTATGGTCAATTGGAAAAGGACAGCATTGTACTTCGAGTGAAATCTCTGCACATGAAGAAAGTTCATTCAGGCTTTATAGCCCAGAGGCCCACGCTTTTTCACTAAAATTCATTGATAAAAATGGAATTCATTTAGATCAGATGCTTTCTGCTTAGCTACACAGGCTTACAACATTCTGTAAAAGTTAATATTAATCAATATGTGAAAAGCAGTATGGCATGAATAAATTAGGCAGTGTAATAGAAGCTTTTATTTCTTGGGTAACGTAAAAAAAGACTGAAAGGTCTTAAATTTTTAAAAAGAACATTTTAAAATTTTATTTCTGTTTTATAGACAAGCTGTGGACACTTGCGGCAAAGAAACATACTTTTTCAGGCAGACATGAAAGCTGAGGCAGAGCAATTAATGCTTATGTAGACTATAATGTTGAAAAACAATTATTATCAATTCATTTGACTTTCAGTCAGTTCCAGATAAGGTATTGGACTGAGGATATTGGGTTCACTGTAGCTTCTCCACTGTTGTTGGAATTTGGGTTGCAATAGCTGAATTCATCACTATTTGTGCAAAGACTGACAGTTGCTTTAATTTCTGGGCATTCTTTGGCTGTAAGGAATTGACCTGAGGCTGAGCAAGAGAAAAAGTAGCATTTCTTTCCTTCGTGAATATTTTCACTTTTTCAGTGGTGCTTTCTTGTTCTCCGTACAGTGTTAAATAAGAGCAGTCTTATCTTTTACTGCCTCAGAGAATTGCTCCCTGTGTGGGTTGTACATACATGCATAGACTAATGAGTTGCTTGTTCATTGTGGAACCAGAAAGGAAATTGCCTCTGTGTCTATTTTAGGTGTAGCTACAACTTTTACTCTTTATTATTTTGGACCCTTAACTGTGTTTTTCTACTAAAGCAATCAAGACAACAGACAGTTGTGGCTAGTTAATAGTTAATACAATCTTTTCTCTATAGCGTGGGCCATATAACAAACATCCCATGGGGCTGGATCAACTCACACTTGACGTTAGTCAAGTTCCTCTGTTTGTGACTGAGTCTGAGTTCGGCTCATGGGGCTGAAACTTGGTCAGATTTGTAAACTATGTGCCCAAAAGGAGCCAAAGGAGAATGATGGGATTATCACATAAACCAGCACAGATTTTCTTTCGTTTAGATTCAACCCTGAGTCAAATTCAAGCAAAACTAAATGTTAAAAGGCACTGAAAGTCTTGTGTGCTGCTGTTCTCAGTTGCAGTGATTTTATTCACACCCATTAAACATGTTTCATTTTCAAGTCACTACTCTGTTACCAAATCACAGTGAGATACCTTCACATTCAATAGAAGACTTTCCATCGTGAATCTTTTTCTCAGGTCTTCAAATAGCCACCATTTAAAAACTCTTCTTCAGCTTTTGAGAGCTTAGTATTATCTTTTGGGGAAAAACTTGTAATAAAATAAATGTAAGAAGAGGATTATCAATTTAAAGCATTACCAAACCACATTTTGAGTTTTGTTACCACATAATATATAAAAATCTTGTGGAAAATAATTCAAAATGTCTTTGGCAAACAGTATAGTTGTCTATAACTGTCTTCTAATTTTGTCTGTAACTGCCTTCTAATTTGATCATATTTTTGGTAGGAACTAGTCAAATCACTAGAGGCAAAGTACATATCTACAGATGAGCCTGTTGCCTGGATTTTCTGTATAGGCAGTGAGGTAGGCACTTGTTCAATGTGATCAATTTCATCATAAATAAAACTTTTTAAAAGAAAAAGTTCAGGTGAATTACACCCTAGGGTGTCCACTGCTCTCCGTAGCCTGCTGTAACAGGCTTGAGAGACTGGCTCAGATGCAGTTGCCCACAGTGTGCCTATCTAGTATTACATAAAATAATTCAATGTCTTTGGCAAACAGTATAGTTGTCTATAACTGTCTTCTAATTTTGTCTGTAACTGCCCCCTAATTTGATAAAATTTTGAGTTATATATAAAAATATATATATATATATATAAAATATATATATATATAAAAAGTTGATATATAAAAATCTTGTGGAAAATAATTCAAAATGTCTTTGGCAAACAGTATAGTTGTCTATAACTGTCTTCTAATTTTGTCTGTAACTGCCTTCTAATTTGATCATATTTTTGGTAGGAACTAGTCAAATCACTAGAGGCAAAGTACATATCTACAGATGAGCCTGTTGCCTGGATTTTCTGTATAGGCAGTGAGGTAGGCACTTGTTCAATGTGATCAATTTCATAATAAATAAAACTTTTTAAAAGAAAAAGTTCAGGTGAATTACACCCTAGGGTGTCCACTGCTCTCCGTAGCCTGTAACAGGTGCCTTGAGAGACTGGCTCAGATGCAGTTGCCCACAGTGTGCCTATCTAGTATTACATAAAATTAATGCTCTCTCTCTTCCCCTCAGAAGTCTAAAAATTTATTCAGGCATGTGTAATTTTGTTAAATATTGAAATAAATAAATGCCACTCATTTGAGAATTAAAGTGGGGGCAATTTGGAGATATTTAGAACAGTCTGTCAGGTGTTTAGATATGTAGGCTGCAATCCTGATCTCGTTAAAACCAGTGGGACTTCTCCAGATGTCACTGGGGGCACAACATTGTTCCTATTTAATGTGGTCCAAATGCAAGCAGAGAATAGAGACCTTGTTCATGTTGGACCTCGGTTCAAATAAAATGTCGGAAAAGGAATACTGGACGTTCAGCTGGTTTCCTAACAGAATACATTGTGCTCTTTTTGCTTAAGAAATCAGCTACCTTTTCATAAAAGTAATTTAGTGTTAGAAATTATCTGGAAGGCATTTTAGATATATAGTAAGCCCAGAAAAAAAAGTGAAAACCACTGGAGAAATAATCAGTTTAATATCCAAATGAATTGAATGTGCTTGCTCTGCAGCGGCTGAAGAGCGTACTTAAATTCAGGAGCCCTGATTACTCCATTGTCATAAATGGAACCTCTCTGCGAGTGAGAGTGTAAGTAGTTACTGCAATTCTGTAGGCTAGAGCAGAATGATACAGCAAAACAGAAAATACAATGTGTTACGGATCAACTCTGTGTCTGGGTGTCATGCAATGTGAAGGTAAATACGAATTACTGGTTGGAATCTGAACACCAAGATAAGTTTAGTTCCCCTGAGTTGCCTTTTGCTCTGCTGGTATCATCAGTTTCCCAGCTTGTAGTACAGTGCAGCTAGGTGTTCAAATTCACAGAAGGCCAAGAATTACTCCCTTACAGAATATCAAAAGTAAAACCTAGGTGATGTAACTCATATTCAAAATAAATATACTGTGTGACAGGTATAAAACTACTGAACTAAATGGTATTTCTCACAGTTTTTTTTTTTTCTTTTTTTCCAGAAGTACCTCAGCTGCAGGGCAAAATACAAGGACATAAGCTACTGACCTCCTTTTAGCACAAGGACCAGACATGCTACCCTACACTTCACCATCAATTAAGAACAATTGAAAACCACCTCTCAGAAAAGCTGATCAACCCATGACATCAGTGGACATTTTTTGTAAAACACATTTTATGTACTTCTGCTGAGATCCTTTTTCTACCTACCGCATGGTTCTATATTACTTACTGGGCACTGATGGTAGCCTCCAGAAAGTGCAGCTTCAAATGGTCAACCTCATCCTTTAGCAAGAAGAAAATCTGGATACTGGATAACAGCAACGTCTTCAGAGAAAATGGTATACGAAGGAAAACGATTAGTTTCCTGCCATTGTTTCTTCCTGTTAACAGCCAAATTCTACTGGATACTCACTTTGATGCAAAGAACTCATGGCCAGGAATATGCCCACTCCATCCGACTGGATGGGGACATCATCTTGGGAGGACTGTTCCCTGTTCATGCAAAAGGCGATAGAGGGGTGCCTTGTGGGGAGCTCAAGAAGGAGAAAGGGATCCACAGACTAGAGGCAATGCTGTATGCAATCGATCAGATTAATAAAGACCCTGATCTTCTTGCCAATATCACCTTAGGTGTCCGGATCCTTGACACGTGTTCCAGGGACACTTATGCATTGGAGCAGTCCTTAACATTTGTGCAAGCGTTGATAGAAAAAGATGGTTCAGACGTGAAGTGTGCTAATGGTGACCCACCTATTTTCACTAAGCCAGACAAGATATCAGGTGTGATAGGTGCTGCAGCAAGTTCTGTGTCCATTATGGTCGCAAATATTTTAAGACTTTTTAAGGTAAGGAACATTTTCTACCTTTCTTTTAAATTTCAAGCACAATGAAATAAGTGAGGTGACTGTGTTGTTTTATCTTCAAAAAAGAAAGGACTTTTTCAGATTCAGAAATCTGAAATGAGTGGTTTGCCCTTTCAAAGCAAAGGAAAAAAAAAAAGGAATAATTGCAGACCCTAATTTAAAATGCCAAATGCCTCTTTTGAAGTTCTGAGCAACCAGAGCACATTTTAATTCTTTAGGGATTTGTATCCTTCTTTTTTTACTACTCATATTTGCTCCATATTGAGCGTTTATGCTCCTCAAGTCTAGGTTGAGATTGATTTCCCAAATTTCCAGGAGAATGAAATATAAGGCTTAAACACAAATCCATTTGTAGGAGGACCAGATAATTTCCCTAAATAGGAAGATATGCCAGTAGTAATCTAGTGCTATTGATGTGCATGTCTAGCCAAATGAAGTGGACTGAAATATCTTTGATTTCCTTGAAATCTAACCTCCTCCATGTTTTTTACAAGGTGATTTTTTTTTCCCAGCCTTTGTTATCACTTTGTAAGAGATTACTTTTGGACAACAGTTCTACTGGCATTTCCTTCCATGTACTTTATTAAACTCTGGTGTTATAAATAATGGAAAAGTAAATCTGCCACTTTTAAACTTGCTAAGTTAGATGGGAAGATGAGCACATTTTAATCAATCAACTTAGCTGGAACAGATCAGGCAGCAGACATTTAATTTTTAATCCTGTGCAATGGCAAACAGATGATGGTAAGTTGAACACTTTTTTCTACACACAGAACGACTGTAACTTTTGTCTGAATCTATTGCTGTTCTACCGCCCACTGTTATTCAGACACGTTCCTTCCGTTCAGAAATCTTGCCTTATGTCCTACAACTTCACAACCACCAAAGACCACTTAAAGACCATTTCTTTGACTTTGGTGGAGAAGATTCTGGTAATGTTAAATACTGCTGTTATATATTTTGAAAGTGTTGCACTTGTTTTCTGATTGTTGTAACTGAGAGATTGATTAGAAGTAAGGAAAGATTGGCTTATTTTTTGAAGGTTTCTCAAATTGGCAAAGAGTGTTTTGGTCATTTAAAAGGGGGTTTTTGTCGTCCCCTCTGGTTCTCCCATGAAGGGCATAATGATGGATTTACAGTTCAGTGGAGGAGCAAAGTGTCTGCTGGGTTGTGGTCAGGTGTTCATTACAGTCTCAAAACTGATCCCTAGCTGCACTTACTGCACAGGTTTGAGAGTAGTGGACTTGTTCGAGCCATATGTTTTGCTTGTGAAAATCAAGTGCACAAAACTGAGCTAAGACTTAAAAATGTTCTATATGGAGAGCACCTCTGGAGACGTGCCTGGTGGGGGAGGAACAATCACGCATGTTGCGGGAGGTGTCTATTTTTAATTTCACGTCCTTTTTTGAAGTTGTGTTACCCTATTAAATAATGCATAGTTCTGAAGTAATGATAGATGGAACGGTCACTTTAATATCCATCATAATGCAGGGCCACGTCGACTACGACTTACACCCAGTTTTGAGTTGAATACAGTGCCGTAGACTGATTTAAGAAACAAAGCCTTGTAAGACATGCATTAACGGTGAATTAAGAGCAGCAAGAAGGAAAGAGGCCTATGAATTGTCTAAGATAGTGGCAATTTGTCTTCTGAAACCATGACAGCTACCTCCTGATTTCCATTATGCAATAAGATTGCAAATAACGTTCTACTGCAGTCTTAATCAATAGAGGGTCACGTGACATCCCCTCTGGGGAAAGATCTTATTTACCCATTTAATTGATGTAACACAGCTGCTGGCAAAAGGAGGAGACATCTCTTTTAGTTTTAATTGCAGATCCTGCACAAATATTCTTATTAATGTAAAAAATGACAAATTATACCCTTTAATGTCTGATGTTGGATCTGCGTCTGAAGTCTGTTTTTACACCTTCCTCTCAGAAGTAGATCTGTTATCTCTGCATGAGTAAAGGTTTCTGGATAAGGCCCTTAGTTAGCAGCATTATAGAAACCGTTCACAATGGTTATAGTCAAGAGGATTAGGAAATTAAGGGTCATTTGCCAGAAATATAGAAGTATAATCCAGTTTGGGTTGTACTCAGACCAAAGACATGGGCTGAGATTCTCAGCTGATGCATCCCCACGGCTCTGCAGCTGAGGACCAGGACTTTGGTCCATGCTCACAAAGGCTCCAGGTATGAAATTGTGTTCACTGTATCTTGATATATGTCAAGGCTGGGCACTCAGCTGGTGTAAATGCCTGTACTTTCACTGAAGTCAGTGATCACCATCATGCAAATGCCTGTTTACATTATATCGAGGATGGGTGTGATTCATCCATATTGCTGTCTAACAGTTCTGTTCAGCAAGTTGAACATGTAATTTGAAGTTCAGTATTGCTTTAATATCTACTCTGAAGCTCCTAAATGTCAGGACTACATATTTTTTGAGAACATTGTTATCCAGTGAAATTTTAATCTGTAATGAAATTGTGAGAAATATATTATATCACTCAATGTGAATACACAAACAAAGATAGCCTGAGAAAGTATGCTTCACAGCTTGGATTTTCATGGTGCTATTTTTCTTTTTCTTGCCTTTTTTTTTTCTTTCTTTATTGATTTTACAACATAAAACATACAGGTCAATAGTCCTATCTGATGATCTGGTGGATAGCATAAACTGATTGATAGTCATGGTATCCCTTTATCTAAGTATTTTCATGAGAAGAGGGGAAGGAGAGCAACACAGAAAATGACCTTAACCTATAGCGTTTCTCCTGGTCAAACGGCTCACCTTGAATTCTTCTCTGTCCTTTCTCCTTTTGTGAATTTCCAGGCGCATCACTGCTTAGCAGGTGATTTTCTGCCCTTAGTAGGTCTAAAACATTAAGGTCCAAATTTGGACAGCCTAATTTCACCTGTTGATGGTTTTAGACCCTTCAGAGGCACTTTACAAACAGGAAATACTTGTTCAAGGAATTAACTGTTTGAAAGTGGACCTGTTTTTCCTTGATTATCATAAGGAGGTTGCTTTTTGCCTTATGTTACTCTGGTCCTTGATGCAAAAAAGATTGTGTGAAACAGTTGCTTATTAAGCTTTCAGAACGTGGAGGTGGTCTTGCTGCAAATATAGTGGAAGAAGGAGAGGACCTTCAGAGGGGAGCACAGAAGGACTGTGCTAGGTAGTAACACAGTAGCTACCCACTTAAACAGTTTTTCGTGGACCTCAGGACAGATTGTCCCCACTTGAAGTTGCTGGCTCATCATTTTAAGTTGTTTTTATCAGAGAACATCAGGAGTGGGCTGCCTCACAAGGGAAATTGAGACAGAAGGCAAGGGGTCAGCAAGGCAAGAAATGCAGTTGTCTCACAGCCTCACCTGAATGAGAAGAACAAAACAGGTCTGTCCGTGTAACCAGGTTCAGCCAACAGTCCAGTGATTGCCAGACAAGTCCATAGTAATGAGTTAGGTCCAAGGTCAGCCAGGAAGTCAGGTCAGCAAGGCAAGGCTGGGGTCAGCAAGGCAAGGTTGGGGTCAGCAAGGCAAGGTCATGGTCAGCAAGGTATGAGGCAAGCAGCATATCTCAAGCAGCAGCCAAGGGCGAGGGCCAGAGCTGAAATGCAGCTGCCCAGCAAAGAAGGTGGACAGAGGTCCAGATGAGGTTTCTTGTTGCTTTTCCTCACAACTTAGCTGTTTTCCTGGGCTGATCCAGGGTCACATATCTGCGCCATATTGGAGATGACCTTGAACACACGGAGCCAAATCCAGGGCTGGGGAAGGGAGGGTGTTGCAGGACCTGTTGGTGCATTCAGAGCCTTGACAGTTTTTTAGCATTTCCTATGGTAATGACTGTAGAAATAGGGCAGACAGGAATGGGCCAGCCTCTTTCCTTTCTTCTGGTGCACTAGGAGCTGCTCTTTCCTCTGGGTAACAGAAAGTGACATTGTTTGGTGTTTGGTTTTTTTTCAGTCTGGAAATCCTGCTGCCAAGTTGGTTTCTGTTTGGCTGGTAGGATCTATGAGGGGCTGGCTGTCTCAGTTGGCCAGCGCTCACTAGCACAAAGGCAACCTTTCTATTGACTTGATCAGGCAAAAGCTTATTCTTACACCCTTCCTTGGCTTTGTCTCATTGAAATTTTGGCTTCCTGTAGGGTGCTCAGGCACGGCCGGGTGGTATCCTTTAGCTGCTTTGTGTGATGCTTACAAGCATCTGGGCTGTTCCCAGTCCCTCAAAACTTGTCCTGGAGGCAACAAGAAACTCTGTAACTTAGCTTACTTCATGTGTTATGTTCCCTGTATTCAAAGCTTCTACTTGTTTAATGTCTGAATAACTCATGTCAATGGTTAAAAACTGCTGAAAAAAGAGAGGCATTTATTTATGCTAGTGTCCTCCCATCTAAAAACCTCACACTGTTTCTGAGCTCCTTGGTATGCTCCATCTGTCACCTTCACACATCTTCTAGCCAATGTCACACTAGAAGCAGCCTAGGGATGATGGTTTGCATGTGAATTGAGATGGGGGCCAGTATGCTTGGTGAATTGTGACCTTAAGCTTTTATGTATATATTTATGTACATGCATATAAAGCCAAAATATTCATCAACAGTTTTATTTGTTTCCTTGCCTTGCCTTTTGCCTTGCTTTGCCTTGCCTTGCCTTCTGTTTTCTCCTCTTTTCCCAAGACTAAATGACTTATTTCCTCTTTTTGGTCAAATTCCCTTCTTGCTGCATCACTGTAATCCACTTTAATAGCTGCTGTCTGGAGGGACTAATATTCACTTCATGCGCATTTGCCTTATACATTTCATACACATTTACCTCTTCAGAAGTACAAGTACAAATGACATTATGGAGTTACTCTTTCAACTTTATGTGCAACCATCCAAAATGCAAGGGATAGTTTCTTTCAGTAAATCTAGAAGTGAATATATTCGTTTCCTCAGCATTTTGTTTATTTGCTTTGGTTGTTTCCTTGCCTCA